GTGAGTTGACTCAGGGAGCTAAACAAGGATGCGTGTGTCTGGGTCCAGCTTTTAATTGATGGGAGACTGAACGAATAATTTACGAGTGCCAGCCATTTGCCAGCAGGGTAGGTGACACTGTGGCGGGTGACGGTGCAGGGCAGGCGACCGGGCAGAATCCTTCTGTTTTGGGAATGTGGATTCTGTCAACGTAAGACCCTCACAGCCAAACCTGTAGAGAATTTTTATGAGTTTATTTGAACCAGTCTGACGACATAGGTCGTCAGAGCCGAGCCAGACCTGACGGCATATGTCCCAGGAGCAAGATCTCAGATGCTTCGGGCTTCCTTTAGGCATTTGAGATTAAGGAGGGGACAAGGCAGAGAAGGGGGGGGGCCAGGGAAGGCCATGGTGGGGATCGGGTTACAGGATTGGGGCTGTGGGCCTGTGGGGCTGTGGGCCTGTTACTTCCCTGCGGTGGGGACACCTCCCCCGGCTGATAGGGGGAGGGATATGTTAACCTAGATGCTCAGAAACAAGGGACAGGGCCTGTTGAAGGCAGTTACAGGCCCCAGGCATGGCAGGGACCTGCCCAGTTAGGAATGTGCGATCAGATCGTCGGTCAGTTTACTTTCCCAGGGAACCCTGTTTTCGCCCACAATTCAAAGACTGACCAGAGCAGGCCCTGGGCTAGGAGCTTCAGGCTGGGCGTGAGGCAAGAAGGCAGAAACCCATAGAGAGCAGAGGCCCTCCAGCTGCGCCTCGGAGTTCACGGGCCAGGGATCACGGCCAGCGGGCCTGGCCTAGGTGACCTGGAGAATGAACTTGGGAAGGTGTTGGGAACTGGCAGGAGCAGCTCAGAGATGGGTGGATTTTTTTTTGTTCGTTTGCTCGGTAACCCTCCCCTGAGGATATTTTTTCCAAGGATTTTTAGAGAGAGTAGAAGGGATGGGGAGAGACAGAGAGAAACATCGATGCGAGAAGAGACACATTGACAGGTTGCCTCCCGCACGCTCCGCAGGCGGGGCTGGAGCCTGCAACCAAGGTATGTGCCTCTGACCGGAATCGAACCCGAGACCTTTCAGTCTGTGGGCCGACACTCTAACCACTGAGCCAAACCAGCTAGGGCATTGTGTCAATCAATATTTTGAATTGATTTTTAGAGTGAAATGAGAAACGTCAGTTTGTTGTTCTACTGATTTATGCACTGACTGTATGTGCCCTGACGGGATCGAACCCGAGCCTTGTGTCAGGAGGACTCTCTAACCAACGTAGCTAACCAGCCAGGGCAGAGATGTGGATTTTTAAAAACTGTGATAAATAGGCCCTTGTTTTCTCTTGGAGCCTCTTATTCTGGATCTTGCTGCTTTCCTGAGAGCGGGTTAGTGAGAGCTGCTTAGTGCTCTGTGCGGACCTCGGAGAATCCCTCTCCCTCGGTGGCCCTCAGGATGATCTGATTCCCACGCTCCGCCTGGGGTTTTCAGCCCCAGGTGTGTTCCAGGCCAGGAGATCTGTGCCAGCTCGCCGTGGCGTGGGCCACCAGAAGTGACCCCAGGAAGATGAGTGTGCACAGCCCACAGCATGCTGTTCTTGCATCGAGAACAGTCCCCGAGGCCTTCTCCTGTCACCTGGCCAAACCTGGGGGAGGAGCAGCCTGGGGGAGAAGGTGCTTCCGTGGTCACCCTGTTCCCTCCAGGAGCTGCTCATGCAGACCTGAGGGGACAGAGACTGACCGCGGAGAGGTTAAGCTCTCTTCTCTTCCATCTGTATTTTCTCTTCTCGTTGCTTCTCTGTGACCTTGCCTCCCCCTTCTCTTTGCTTTTCTTGCCAGTATAAGAGTTCTCTCTGGAGCCGTCTGAGAACTCGGGGCGCAGGTGCACGGTCTGTACAGGTGGGTCCCAGCGGTCATGTTGCGTAGCTTTGTCCTCAGGGAAGCCACCTCTCTCCACCCACGTAGACAGGTGCCAGGTGGGGATGATGGTGGGGATGGGGGGAGGGGGGCTTACACCTCTCAAAGCCAGCGGGTCTGGGGCCTGCATCCCGCCCCGGGGTGGGGTGCCCAGGCTCAGCGGGCAGTGCGTGTTACAGTAAGAGCCGTGGTGGGGAGGGCGGGGAAAGGTCCTCAGTTGTCTTTGGCGCGGTTGAGATGTGCTGAGCCCTGTGTGCGCAGGTAGAAGTAAAGCCCCGGGCAGGGCCTGTGGGTGCGGAGGCATTGGGTGGCGGCAGCAGCAGGTACGTTGTAAGATGGTCTGAGCCACCTGGAGACCTTATCCAGGAGGAAGCAGGCTGGCACCCAGAGACTGCCGATTTAGTTGTGCCCTGTCTGTGAGACCCCAGCCCCAGGAGGCGGTGGGCGGGGGGAGAGGGCTGCTGCTCACATGACCTTTGGTGCCACCTGGAAGGCTGGAGGGACACAGAGGAGAGGCTGTCCAGTGCAGGTGGCCGGGATCCAGACACAGGCCGGGCCTGCCAGCTGGCCCCCGGGCCCTTCCTCTCACTGAAAGTGGGGGTTCCCAGCTGGGGGGGGGGTGTCTGGGACTCCAGGGAGGCCGGCCAGGAGAGGAGAGTTGGAGACAGGGCGGTCTCAGGTCAGCGTCGCCACATACTCACAGTGTTCACTCCAGGAGGGTTCGTTGGTGCTACGATGTTCTTCGTCTTTGCGGCGTGTTGTGACTTAAACATAAAGACAGAGGACAGCCCCGTTATATAATGAAGTTCACGGGGGCTTTTGTGAGGCCCTCGTCACTCCTAATTGTCCTGAATGTGTTAACTGCATACTTCCTCCCACCTGGGGATCCCGCGTTCCCCACCCCTCACCGGCCCTAGTCACCATCCTGGTGGGCATGGCATGGTCTTTATATGTATATGTATATGTATATTTGTGTACATACGTATATATTTACTTTATTCTCACCTGAGGATATGTTTTCTATTTATTTTATTTTTTAATTTTTTAAAAATATATTTATCGATTTCAGGNTATTTGTGTACATACGTATATATTTACTTTATTCTCACCTGAGGATATGTTTTCTATTTATTTTATTTTTTAATTTTTTAAAAATATATTTATTGATTTCAGAGAGAAGAAGGGAGAGGGAGAGAGAGAAACATCAATGATGAGAGTCATTGATTGGCTGCCTCCTGCACACCCCCTACTGGGGATCGAGCCCTTGACGTGGGCATGTGCCCTGATGGGGAATCGAAGCGTGACCTCCTGGTTCATAGGTCAACTGAGCCACACTGACTGGGCTATTTTTTAATTTTTTAATTGATTTTTTTAGAGAGATTGAGGGGGAGAGAGAGATCAGTCGTTGCAATGCTCCAGCCGCCTGAGCCACCAGGCCAGGGCTTGCTGCGGCTTGATTTGCATTTCCCTGCCGTCTGCAGGAGGCAGTGTTCCAGTTACAAATGTTAGGCTCTCATAAGGCTGTAGTGCCAGGACTGAGGTGGGATTTTAGCTCATTAGGTTTGCACAGGGAGCTTTTTGGATGGCTGTTCACTAATTCCCGCTTATGGCTCCAGGAGGGAGAGGCCGGTTCAGGGCAGCCATCCTGGCTACGGCAAAAGGAGAGAAGCAAATTGTGTGTTTCGGGGGCATTTAGGACTCTCATATTTAGTCGTTAGGCTGGGCCAGTCAAAACCAGCACATCCTGAGTCAAATGCAGAGTTCTGACAAGGCCGTAAAGGGTGTGAGATCTCCGTCTCTGCCTCTCCCCAGCCGTGCTTGAGACTCCTGAGCAAACGTCCACACGTACCTTCGGAGAGAATTGCCTACAAATGCTGTGTTTATATTTAATCGACTGCTGTTGGTAATCACTTCATGTCCTGTAGAGAGCCCTTGAGAACTCGGGTACCTCATTGTAAGGGGCACGTAATTTTTTTGGCCGTGATGCCCGCCGGGCAGAATCCTCCTGGGGTGGGTTGGGGCTGAGATCGCCAGGAGGCTCTGGGAGAATCTTACAGCCCCTTGGATACGTTTCGAGAGGTGGATCCAGAGCTGCTTGTTGGGTGCCATCTCCATTCCCTGTGGCAGGCCTTTGCTTAGGGAGCTTGCTGCCATCAAACACCCGATGTAGCCCGGCCGGCGGGGCTCAGCGGTCGGGCATCAGCCTAGGATCCAGGGGACCGCGGTTCGATTCCCGGTCAGGGCACACGCCGGGTGGTGGGCCCGATCCCGAGTGGGGGGCATGCAGGAGGCAGCCGATCAGTGACTCTCTCATCATGGATGTTTCTATCTCCCCCTTTCCCTTTCTGTCGGTGAAATCAATTAAAAAAAAAACCAAAACCCATCTAGCCCTGGCCGGGTAGCTCAGTTGACTGGAGCGTCATCCCAGACGCCGAAAGGTTGCGGGTTCGACTCTCGGTCAGGGCACACACCTAGGTTGCGGGGTTTGATCCCTATGGGATGTTTCTCTGAAATTGGCCAGGCTCCAGCTTGCTAAGTGGTACGTGAATGCTCCAGAATGGTTGCAGATTGCACTCAGCTAAGGTTATATTGCTTTTTGTTTTTTACTTTTTCGAAATCACCGAAGCAGAACCATGGAGGCTCTGTGTGCTGGCATTCTGGGTGTGTCCATCCCAGCCTCTCCCTCTGCCTGTGGCGACATCGGATGCGAAGAATCATCCACAGGGCAGGCCTTTCAGGCCCAAAGCCTCCGCTGGGAGGGTGGCTCGGACCGGAAGCCCTGGAATGAGTGCCTCTGAAGCCTGTCGGGAGCAGGCCGGCCTCCCGTCCCCTCTGTTCCCACTCCAGGACACTCTCTCTTGGGACACCCGCAGCCTCCTCCTGGTCTTGCTTCCCCGGCACCCCCACTCCCCGTGGCAGCCAGAGTGTTCTTAAAACAGAACGGTGCCGGATACCCCACCTCAGAGCTCCTGGTGCGTCTCCATGGCCCGTTCACGTAAGACCCAGCTGCCTCTCGAGGCTGTCTCCGGGCCTTCCTCTGAAGTTAGCTGCCTGCCCTTGACCCCAGCCACCCTGCCCTTGACCTCTACCTGGAGCCCTTACACAGGTCTGTCTTTGGGCCTGAAAGGCCTGCCCTCTGGCTGATTCTTCTCCTGAGCATCAATGTCACCTGGTAGGTCCTCTCTAGCACCCCGTCTTCCTGCCCCTGTCTGGGGGCAGGGAGACCTTTTCTGCCCGTGTCTCAATCCTCCGGAGCTGGGACGTAGGCGGCAGTCAGGAAACACTTGTTGAATGATCCAATGAATGAAAGTTGGGTTCCTTTCCAGGGCCTGCTCTTGGTCTCGTTTGCTCGGATCGGGTGGAGATTAGGCCAGTTCCGCTTCTGTAACTGGGCGTCTTTGTAATGGTCCCACCTCTGCACTTAACAGGGTTAAGTGGGTAAAAACGGGGGAAATTACGTGTGATGAGAAAACACACCACGCAATTTAGATTTTTTTTATGGTGAGTGATGGTGTTTTCC